ATATATATATAAATATAAAAAAATTTTTTATTTGATATCGAATCTCTTTAAGGGAAAGAAGAAGTAAAAAAGTCAGCGTCTAGGGGGTATAGCCTGGTCTTTCACCAAAATTAGTTTTAAAGTAGAGATTTGAAATGCAGATTCTCCATAGAAAACCCAAATTAATGCAGGCCAATGCTTATTGGTGTCTTTAAAACCAGTCCCATTTGTGTTGAATTTGTGCATGGTTGATGAATGCTTTCCAATGGATGAAAAGGTCAGCAAAAGCTTTACTCAACAAACATTGGAACTTTGTGAAGAAAAGCTTGTGGAAGCCAGTGGTGCATTGGTAGGCACATGGTTTTTCCTACAAGTTCTGTGGATAGATTTTTTTTCCCATAACCCTGTGCTGTCGGATATAAACAGGATATCTCATGTCTCTGGGGAAAACAGTGTACGTGCTGCATTTTGATTTCACAGACTGAAAAATCAAACTAATACAACACACTGAGAGCCAAGGGAGGTGATTAAAAACAACATATGTGTGCGTGCTTTGGCATTCTGTGTGTGTACTTGTGTATGTGAATGAATGTGCTCTCATCTATGTCGTGTGAGTGTGTGTGCACATACCTATCACCACCTAGCATTACATATCACCAGCTTTTCTGTAGCTGCATCACGTTCCTTCATAGCGGCATTTGTATTTTTGTGGGAACGACTGGAAATTCTGGAATCTGGAGTGTAAGCACCGATACATTGATGTGAATGATATTCTTATCACACAGTATTCTCTTTGTTTCCATGGTACAATACTCGGTGCTCCAGGCATTGAGCTGCAAAGACATGCAGCTGCGTTACCTTCTTGAAAGTTTTCAGGGAGAGCTTTGAGGAGTCAAAAGTTCTGAGTCACAATTTTTCATTATTTTTCTGCATGTGTGTGGTCAGATGATTAGGCGCATAACCTCATAATCACTGTGAGCAGGGGTGATTAGATCACACATTCAATCCCTCATCCTTCACTGAGCATTATGAGAGAGAGAGAGGGAAATACAAAGGGAGAGAGGGTGAGCAGGAATAGAAGATGGAGAGGTCAAGAAAGTGAACTGAGAATGAGACAGAGAGTAAGTGGTTGAGGCAGAGCAAGAGAGAGAGAGAGAGAGAGAGGGGGGAAGAGGAAACCACCCACGGCTGCTGTGTCTGTGTGAGCCACTCACAGTGACCCAGAGGTCAGTGAACTTCGCATGCTGCGGCAGCGGTCTGTCAGGCTGGCGCTATAGAGCTGGATTTGGACACAGCTGTTCATCGCAGGAGCCTCTCTAAAGTCAGTTCTGTGAGCTTGCTTTGGCCCCGCCCCAACAGGACCAGCCGGAAATCAACACGCTCCAGCAGTGTGAGTGACAGGAAAGCGCCTTGTAGAGTACAGACAGCATCTCCTCAATCCACTATATTACATTACATTTATTGGCAGACACTTTTGTCCAAAGTAATGCACAATAAGTGCAGCAGTGCATACTGTTGGTCATTGGAGTGACTGCTAAACACAGGCCTGATGAGGTACTGTTCTCACACGGAGTGGCTGTTCTCCCAACCGTTGAGTTAATAGTAAGCATCTCCTGAGCTATTCTCCTGACCACTTCCAATAAAAAGCATGCAATATTTTGTGAGGAACCTCTATCAGCAAAACTTTGTACTCGGCCATTTTTCCCCTACTTTGATCAGAGACAGCACAGGAAAATGGTGGTGTATTGAAATGACTCAGAATTTGACAACTTTTCATAATTCCAAGTGTTGCTTTCACAATATAGCGAAAAGAACAATGTCCTATACCCATGTCATGAGTAATGGCAGAACTGTCGAAAATGCAAACAAAATGATTAGCTTGACGTCTTCACCATATCACAAATGGTGGGGGCAATAACAGCTCTTGTGAACCCTATTCCAATGGTTGGGGGAATAGCTATCTCTATTCTCAAAAGTTATCAGTTACCCATGAGCAGCAAGTATAGTCAATCTCCCCTCAATCCTTAAGGCCCCATCTTTGGGTGGATTTTTTTTTATCTCCTCTTGCACTTGCCCAACTGAATGATGTTTTATGAACATGCAAGAGCACCCCCTTGCTGTTAGCTCGTAAGGCTGTAGGGCTCTCCTCAGTACAACTGAGATTTGTTCAGCTGGTGGCTTCAGAGTTGATGCCAATTGACATACTGCGAAATGCGAAGGACATTCTGTGAGTTAAGTCCTCCATTAGCATTGTGGATGATTGTGAGCTACATAAATGACATTAGTAATATTGTGTTTGAGTTGTGCAGGGCTTGCTTGTTGATCAGGAATATTAGACTCCAGTCCTGGGGGGCCACTGTGCTGGTTTTCAATGTATTTCAGCACTCCTGATTAATTTAAGCCATCGATTGGCTAAAGAGTCCACAATGATTTTTGTTGAGGCCACTGATTGGCTGCTAATTGGCTGCTGATTGAAAGAGGGTCATAAGTACTGACAGTAACCACCACCCCCAGGCTATAGATGCCTCAGTTACATGTTTATTATCCAGTCAAATCCTTGCCCTTTGATGGACATATCTGTATCTGGTCATGTGTTCCACTGGGTTACCATGACTTACTATGTGAATGAGCCGATGCAAATTTAGCCGTTGCTCTTGAGAACAGTTTTTCCCAAAGGGATGCAAAAACAAAGATGATCAAGAATGACTTCAATTTCCGATCATGCAAATGATAGGGTTGATTCAGGGATTAAGAGCAAGAAATCCAAATGGACACTGCACTACAGTAATGCGACCCCCCACCTCTCCCCCACTTTGCTGCGCTTTGCTGTGCACAACTCAAAGAGCGGAAAAGCACCACAGAATGAGCACACATAAAGCATGGCTTGATTGTACTAGCACAAGCAATCAAAGAGCAAAAAGCACTCCGAGGAAGTGCTAACAAGCCGTCTTGTTGCTGTAGTCTATACACGTTTTTGCGCTTCTGAATATTATCTGTCAGCTAAGGGGCTGAATGATCATATTATATTTCCTGTGGGAAAAAGCCGCAGCATTTTGTGCGTTGAGTAGACCATTAGATGAGGATATTTGTCAGCTGCTGGGCACTGGAAAGAGTGCATGCTGGGAAATGATTTATGGCCAATCAAAAAGGGTAAGGCAGCACATTTCTAATTAACCACAGCATCTGTTTTGCACACACACAGCCCTAGGCCTGTGGCTCTGTTCCACAGTCCTGTGTTAACAAGTTACAATAAGGGTACATTAGTTAACGTTTGTTGATACAGTAATAAGCATTAACTATTTGTTAATTAACTGTTAACTAATGAGTGAGAGTGCTGATTAAGCATTGAGTGCCTAACTATTTCTTAATGGTTTTTGTCTTCCTTATAGTTGAAAATGTCCCTTTAGTATCCCTTAAGTAATGCTTAAAACAATTCAGCCATTCAAATTAATGTCAAAGTTAACATAAACACCATATTAAATGATTACTTGGCGCATTACAGGGCTGTTAATTAACTGTAAGTTAATACTTATTGCTGCGCCAACCAATGTTAATTAATGTGCCCTTATTGTAAAGTATTCACAAAGAAAACAATATGAGGGGAAGTATGGTTCCTAAGGGCCGTAGGGTTGGGCAGATGTTCGACCAGAAAGAGGGAGCAGTGGGCCAGATCCAGCATGCTGTCAATCGTGCTTAGAGCCAGGGACCTATAACCCTGCTCCTGGAGAGCTGCAAGTCCTGACAGTTTATAGTTTAAAAATCATTACATAAAGGCATAATAGGCAGGATTTTTATCCTAGCTGTGGTTCTGTGGATAAATTTAAAAACATTTCATCCATTTTGGTTTAGTGTTAAACCTCAAATACAAATATATAGCATCCACTTGCTTGATTTGCATTTCGCCATTCTGCCTTGAAGGCTCACCTCTTACTATGGACAGAGAGAATCATTATCATTTCAATTAGGAAATAAGTAGGTCACTGCCGTAGGGGACAGTTGTTTGAAGCTTTAAGCAGGACACGAGGGAACCCATGAATCTTTGCAATAAATGCAGCGCGATCTCTAATGACCGTAGTATAATCAGGACCTCGGTTTTACCTCTGATATGAAAGGCAGCATACCCAGTTGTCCACTGTCCTTGCCACTTTAGTTGTATATTTGTTTTCAGCAGGCCCACTGGGATAAGAACCCCCCACAATTACCATTTTTATCTCCACTGTAATTTCCTCTGCTACGAGCTAGTTTCAGCTATCAGGCAGGAGACTGTCAAAGGTGGTATGCTGGCTGCTTCACGCAACACGTTTTTATATCTATGACCTGCAGTTTGCACATATTAACAGCCCGAGACTGATGAATTTGCCATATGTGATTAACGGCCAAATTAAAGGGCATAGCATCACATTATCATGTGTGAAATATACATTTTGGCAGTGATAATGAGGATGAACTTCGCCCGTGATAGAGGTTATAGATGTGCAGCATGTCAGTCAGGTTATGTGTCCTGTGGCAGTAAAAATGGTATTTTATAATGGTGGCCATGGAAAAGGCTGACAAGTGGGCTAAAAAAATGAGCAGATGTCAGGATTATTGAGCTCAATGTGTAAAGATCTGTAAGGGACTATTGATGTTGGAAAAATGCTTCTGCCAGCTATAATCGTCATGACTTATGAGCTCAGCTCACAGAGGAGACCTTTATTTCTTGCCTAAAAACACATTTTTTAAAAACTTTTATTCAACCAGGAAAAGTTCCATCGAGAACATGTTTCACTTTTACAAAGACGTCCTGGGAGAAAAGCCAAACAGTTGAAAATGAGGAGGGACAGAGAAGCCGGGGTAAGATACACTTTATTGAAAATTTTATTGTCATTTGGCCTCTGCATTTAACCCATCCTATAGTTAGGAGCAGTGGGCAGCCACAGAGCAGCGCCCAGGGACCAACTCCAGTTCTAAAGCCAGTTCCTGGGTCAGGGGCACTGGTAGGGCACCGGTGTTCCTGCAATGCATGATTTTTTACATGGAGGAGGCCCAAGTTGGGATTCAAACCCACAGCCTTCTTGCTGTGAGGCAACAGTGTTAACCACTATGCCATTGAGCCGCACTGTGCCAGTAAAGTCCCTGGAGCAGTTTTAGGGTTAAGGGCCTTACTCAAAGGGTCTGGGATCTGTCCAGCTTTATTGGTCTGGTTCATGCCAAAATCCCGAGCCCCACCGCAGGCTTGAACTAACTCTTCTGTAACCAGTCAAGCAACCTACCACTTGGCACAAGGCATAATGATTACTAATATTGGCACAACTGAACAAGAATTGGACAACTGTCAAAAATTACCTGTAGATAAACAATGAGAAGGACCCATTCCGGCTGTTTCCAGTGATCAGGATTTGACTGCCAAAACTGGAGTTGGGTGAGGACTACACAAAATTTTTTAATTTTTTTTTTATAGTGAGCTTATTAATTTATATTACCCATGCATTATGATTAATTTCATTGCTGTTATAGATGGTGATTGCGGTAATTCACTAAAAGGATTGTGTGTCATGGCCTGCAGACAAAATGACTCTGTGTAAATTACATTTTAATTGAGGGATAACGGCTCTTGCTAATTCTTCAAGAAATATGAATGTTTTTTTTTTTTCTGGTGCCTCTGTTTATTTGTTATTATTATTTTATTCATTCTCAAACACAATTACCTCCTCCATACTTTTGTGCAAAGCATGGATGGATGAGATATACAACCATAAATTGGAAAAAGTTGTGATGATATAGAAAATGGGCATAATTGTTATGATCCAGACAAAGAACTAAATGTAGATTCAGGGTACAATACACAAGGGAGTATTTATTAACTGGAATATTGTAATAGAATGAAGATAATAAACAAATCACTGCTTTCAGTTTTAATCTTAATTTAACATACCGTCTCAACATTTTCGGATGTGGAGTTGTAAAATGCCAATCAAACCATCTGATGAAACTGATTAAAATCATCACGATTGTGTGAAATTGCCAGTGCTTGTACATGGAGATGCTATACAGTTTATCTAGATGTACCTCAACCCATTTTAGTTTCTGAGTTCCTGCTCTAAAATTGGCAATTTCTTGCTGGTGTAGATCCACAGAAATTCAGTTTCCCCTCCAGATTGTAATATTCTTGTTTCGCTCCCCATCACCTCTAAAAGTTGTCGTAACCACTGAGGCCTATGACACTTTTTCAAAGAAAAAATGGATCAGACATTAAAATAATGGGAAAACCATCGCTTAAGGCTTAGCATCGAAAAGCCTATCGCCTCCCACTCTGCTCTCACATTGCATTATTCACAACACATAATGTATCTATCGTGTTTTCGGCAACATAAAGCAAGAATTGTAGTGCGTTCTCGTCTGTTGAAAACACATGGTTATAGCAAGCGATAACCTCCCCCAAAAATGCAGCTTTTTTATTGTCATTGAGGACTTTAATCAGTCTGCATGAACAGTTTCACATCCATAGAAACTCGCTAGGGAGATGAAGCAGCAATCGAAGATAAATTCATGCTGTACTCTTGTCTGCTCATGACTGATTTATGCATAAATATCTGGGGAACGGGTATCACTTGGTGCAGTTTTTCAAGGTTATCTCCCAAATATCCTCAAGAGTGGGGAGAGGCGATCCTGCAATTCATACCGATGCTTCGGTCACACTTGCCCTTGTAATTATGATTGAGTTTATTGGCAGTTGCTCAGTCCAGGAGATCTTCTGCCCAAGAATTTTGGACAAAGATATAAGATATACTGGATGTTTACTGCAGACCTGCAGTACACGGCCTAATGTAAATTTGCAAGGCCATGGCGAATTGAAGATCAAAGATTGAAGAGGAATGTATATATTGAACTGAGATCCTTGTGATGGTGTAATCAGTCAATAGCCATGGTCCTGCTTGACTTACAGAGTGCAATGGTCACACTTTAGATGAAGTGTTGCTCATAAAGATTTTATGCAGCATGTATAAGGCCTTCATAAATGAGACATAATGTCTTCATAAATCATGCATAAGCAAATGTCATGCTTTGTAAGGGGTGAAATAACACATCCTTATTCAGCATGTGATGCCAGATGTCATATAACTGACAATGTCACTTAGCTAGTGTCTAAATACTATAAAGGGTGACATTGTCAGCTAAGTGACATTGTCTTTGTCACATCTGGCATCACATGCTAAATAAGGATGTGGTATTTCACCCTTTACAAAGCATGGCATTTGCTTACGTATGATTTATGAAGACATTATGTCTCATTTATGAAGGCATTATACATGCTGTATAAAACCTTTATGAGCAACACTTCATTAAAAGTGTGACCAGAGCAATGTGTGCAGAGCCCAACCTGAACGGACTGTTAAAAAAAGGATGCATCAAAGGCTGTACTCCTCGTGTCCTCAGTGCACAGAATATTTTAATTGGCTGAGTGCGTTGCGCTAAAGGAGCAACTGATAAGGAGGTAATTAGAATGCAAGTGTTCTTTCAGCGTTTCACAGAGAAGCGGCTGCTTTCCACAAGCGACTGATTTTGCTCTCTGTTTGTGCTGCAAAGGTTGCCAATGTTTGGGTTTGGTCAAAACTGGCTCTATCCCTGTGTGTCACGTGACCCCAGAAAGCCCGTCTCACCTTGCCACCGTCATTTCTGCTATGTTTTGCCGCACGCAAAAATTCATCTAAGCGGGGTACCCAGAAGTCATGAACTTTGCCTTATGAAGGTTCAGCCTTTAAAACTAAAGTTAGCCCCCAGGAGCTGCACTGTGGCTGCCCATTGCTCCTATGTAACTAGGAGAGGTTAACCCCTGCATTCTGTCAAAATCGGCTGAAACGAGGTCACTCAACAAAAGTTGCTTGTAATTGTTTTGTGCAGCACTTTTGAAATGTTATCAAGTCAAGCAAAAAGAAAAAAAAATGTTTATAAGTAGTTCTCATTGTGTTAGGAACTTTTATGAAATATCAAGCTGATAAAACAATGTAAAGTATGCCTTTTGAAACTGCTGGGTTGGGCCAGTTGATAATAGGTGCCGCTTGTAGTGTAGTAACCACTACTGTACAGCATCTGATTGAATCCAGCCATGCCAGGGTCAACTGTGACCAGCAGCCTTGTTACAGCAGCACATAATTGGCTTTCCTGTGCTCAGGGAAATGGGAGGGAAGCATATGGTTTGGGTTAGCGTTGTTTGTTGCTTAAGTGCCTCCTACTAGCCTTCAAAGACTGACGTTTGCCTTGCAAGTAAACTGGCTGGTTCATCTTGCTGTAACACAGAATGAGATGACAGAGTGGTGAGAACATAACATTCAGCCCAACAAGGCTTTATGATACTGCCATATACCCCTCCTGCATGATGCTTGAAGATAGGCGCATGCTGGGGTCTCTCGGGAAATACAGGGCCTACAGTCACAGGAAATGACGGGGACCCCGGGAGCGAGTTTCAACATATCCATTAAGCTTCCTCATCAGGCTAATGAAGGAGCCTTGTTGTCTTATTTGCTGGTGGGGTGATGCATGATGGCTCCCATTGGCGGAAGGGAGAGGGAGCTGGGTGGGCGATCAGCTGTCCAAACACGTATATTTCGGCCTGAGGAAATCGCACAGGATTAAATGTGACGGCCCACGCAAGGTGCAGCGCGTATACGTCCTCCCATCGATTTTGTCTGGCTGCACGCAAACGCTGTGTTATAAATAACTACTCTAAAGTTCTCGCTTTTTTACCCCCACAGTCTGTCAGTGAGTTATGATACTGTTCTGCTTCGCCTCTCCGCCAGTTTGTACCACTAACCCTTCTGGGAATTAGCAGGGCCTCTAGAAGCCATTCAGCGTCTCTTAGGATCTTAATCCAGTGTTCCTATTCTTCCTTATTTCACGTTTAATAACAAAGAATAACAGAATTAATCAGGCTTAGTCTCCTTTCACCTCTCTAAAATCTCATATATTTTTATTGTGTAATAAGATACCTGGTTAATTCCTTTGCCTGCAAGTTGTCTGTTGAATTTTGAAATCATGCCTCACCACATTTCCCATAATATTATCTGACCAGATAACCTTGTCTCTGGCAGTGTGCAGTCTGAAGAATAAAAATAACTGTGGATCTCTTTGACAGCGGTCGTAAAGAAAGCACTCTGTAATGGTGGCTTTTTTTCAAAAAGGCGACACAGCGTGTACCCAAATGTCCTGGTTATTAACAGCTAAGGACCTTGAGTTCTGTAAGCGAAAAGAAGATGAAACGTCAACTGTGGAGAATTAGATGTAATGATTCAAACTGTATGTCCCATACACTGGGGTGGAATTTTCCGGAAATGAATTGTACTTCACAATAAAGGCTCTGTGCTTGCGTGTGTGAAATTGTTCGCGTTAGCCTCGCCCGTTAGGTGTCGCTTAAGGCTGCCGTGGGTGCTATTTGCACCAGTACAAGTTTGGATGTAATCCTGAAATTTAGCTCTCCTTCACTACTGAGCATCGATTCAGAAAATAAAAATCCAATGAAGAAAGAGACCTCATTTTCTTTGTGCTTATTTTTCTTGGGTAGCATTGCATTTTCCCAATAATAGTCTGGCACCTAAATTTTTACTGCTACAGACCTGTCAGACACTAAAGGTTATTGTAGTTTATGCAATGGGGATGTGCTTTAAATTTAAGTACAACTTTGAATTTGAGTTTTATTGAGACCTCATTTAGCCTTTAGGCTACTCTTCCAAGAGTTCTGAACAGTAATAAACAATGAGACAAAACACCAACACTGAACAATCAGTTAATACATCTCATTTAATACATAGCATATATTGAGTTAGTAACATCAGTAAATGGTGTTTTATACCGCTTATTTTTCATACTAGACATCAGCACTCAGCCAATGTGATGACTTTTTCAAAATAAGTTTAAAATGACTGTCCTCAACAAGCAGACGCAGTGGTATCAATTCATAAAATGTCTCCAAGTACAATTGATGATCCACAGTAGTGCAGTGATGATTATACACCGCCACTTTTGTCTAGAAGGGGTCCTATTACATTACTTCTCTATAATTACTTGGTGAAAATGTGTTTAAAAATACTTCTGTACTAGGCAATGAGAACAAAAAAAAAC